CCTCCACCTGGCTTTTCTGTTGAGAAGTGTGTCTAGAACCCCAGCAAGATTCAAAATAATGACCATCTTGCACAGTAGGGTAAACTGGGCTCCATAGCTACAGATGCTGCCAATGCAAGGATGATATGGCGTCACTGGGTAGTGGGTTTCCTAGACTGAAGTCAACAGCCAAAGTGGAGGATTCCTCCAATGGAATCAATGGCTACATGTCTGGAGGACGTCAGCTGTGGTTTAACCTGAAGAGGTATGGACTCCACCAGGTCTACTTGCCAAAGACACACTATGCATGAATGAATACCTCCCTGGCTTTCAACCCAGATATTTGGAGGGAACTGGTCAAGTTCTCAGCTGCGCAGCAACCCTACAGTCACACCTTGTCATGGGACTGATGATGAGGGTGATGACTAAGAGTTTGCATAAAACCATGCTACAATTCTGAATTTGAATTTTTTTCAATTTCATAGTTATGTTGTCATATCCTTCTATGGCAACACAAAACACCTTTGTGCAAGTTAGTGCAATTGAGAGGTCTTCAAAAAGAATGCAGTGGAAAGGGAAGTAATATGAATAATACAGAGTGCAGAGTTTTACAGTGTTCACCAAAACATTTTGCTATTAAGATGTATAATAATCTTATAATACTGTTTGTCCCTCCCTTAGCACAACTCTTATACTCTGCCAATACCTCTTAAATAATGAACTGTTCCATTTTAATGTGTGAAAAGACAGAAAAGGCATATCAGAGATACTACTTGGTTTCACTGAGAACGTGAAAGAAAGAAATAAAGAATGGAAGATAGAAGTGTTTAACGTCTGTTTCAATGAAATGGAAAAAGTTGACAATCACAAATATTTTCATTTTTACCCTCGTCTTAAAATAATGACCAGCATTCCTATCTATGTTATTGCAATACTTTGTCAAAATTGATAAGTTCAAGTATTTAATAATGTGATAAGGGGAATTTCCACAGGTATCTTATAGTCATAGAAGTCGCCATAAGCTTATTCAATCATTAACTTAAGAATTAGGATTCATCAGAAAATTCAAATAAGAAAACCATGAAATTTTCATGGGTATTTCTAGTATAGATAATTGAAGAGCTGTAGCTTTATATTGAAACAATTGTAAATAAAAATAATTCTAAGAATAAAATTAACAAAAAAACTTCAAATAAATGTACAGATAAGAGTGATACCAGGGTTCAAAGATGAACGTGAGTTAAGGCATGCAATCCTAACTTAGTTGCATCTATATCAAGAAAAGTTGGGTCAATGTGTCGTGCCAAAAGGTTTTTCTTGTCTATCTTGTACATTTACAAATTTACCATTTGTCCATGCATTGAATACTATTGCCATATCTGGTCTGGTGCTCCTGCTATTCATCTTGAGGTTCTTGACAAAATCCAAAGAAGGATCTGCAATGTAATCAATCCTGACTTGGCATCTCAACTACAGTGAGGTGGCTTCCCTCTGTCTTTTCTACAGATATTTTCATGGCAACTGCTCTGATGAGTTTTTTTTCCTGGTGCCCCTACTATGTGAATTTAAGCACACTACTAGATTGGCATCTAGGTCCCAGTCTTTTACTGTTTAAATAGTTAAAATTAGCCCCCACTTCTACCCCAACAGTTTTTTCTCACACTTCCATTTATTTGCTTCCCTGGTAACTACAATCTTCAAAAATTTTAATGCAACGTCAGTCACCATCTTCTATCTTCTTGAATCCTATTCATCTTTTGTCCTTTCCCCAATCCTCCCTATACTCAGCCTTTACTCTCACTTTCACTCTGTAACCCCCAGCATACTAGCGGTATTCTTGCCTTGCTTGGGGTAAAATGATGAAAAAAAAAAAATCCAATGTTATTAGTTCTGGTAATCATCAAGAAATTTCAAATAACCTAAAGAAATAATTTTGGCGAGAAGATAACAAACTTGGAGTAAATATAGTGATTGTTTTTTTTTTTGTTCTTAGAAATTACCCAGAAATTACTATCTTTTTCTTCTACGTGCCATGTCCTTTCAGGAAGTGGACGATCATAGCTCTCCACGACTTCCTGTCTTGTCTTTTGTTAATAAAATTTGGCTTATGACTATATTTCTCAAACCCTGCTCTGCTATCCATTCACTCAAGCTGACCAGGTAGGTTATGCGTTGTTTTCCTCTGTACCACTTGCCTTTAATCTGTCCAGTAAGTATCAAAGTTTCCAAGCCCTCTTTCCTTATTATGTGTCGTAAAATTTCAATTCTCTCTTCCTGATGTTAAGTATGTCTCTTTTTTTTCCATCATCTGTAGAACTTTGTTGTTGCTCACATGATCAGTCCATATTATTCTCAGCATCCTTCTGTAGAACCACATTTCTGCCGATATAAGTCTCTTCTACATCTATGAGGAGATTGTCCAGTATTCATTACCATATAGGGGCAGACTGACAACAATATAAAGTAATTTCCAAAGATTTAACAGATTTATTTTTAATCCGTTTTTTTTATTTCATTAAATGGATAAATCGTCGTCTAAATTATGCAAAAATGCAAACAACACTGACATCTCATTTTAACAGACATATTTACCAAAATTACACAAAAATATCTTGAAATATTAAAGAGTAAATTTATTCAATAAAATCACCATTGGCTTTAACCACAGCCTCCAGATGACGTCAGAACCTCCTGCAACTCTTCTGGACAGTCTCCTCATATAAGTTGATGAATGCTGCCATAATCCTTGCCTTCAGTTCATCATTGGTGTTACATGGAGTTTTGTTGGTTTCTCACTCAACTGCACCCCACACATAATAATCAAGAGGGTCGCAGTCTGGGGAGTTAGGTGGCCAGATGTAAGGGGTGATGTAGTTGCCGATATTGTCCGACCATGGCATCAACATATTAAATTAAAATATACAACAATATATGAAATTTTAAAATTAATTTTTTTTAAATTTAAAAAAAATTAAACTTAAATTTAAAATTCTCAGTGTCCGCACTCCTTTGTACGCATTGTCATTGCATCAAAGGAAACATCACTTTAGTCTGAAGTTCTAAAAAATATGAAAACCATTTCCACATTATTTACACTATTTTCATTGTTGGGACTGTTGTCCTCATCTTTACTGTCATATTCACTTTGTTTCAGCCATTGTATGCTCCAGTCTTCTTCAGGTGATATACATTAGAATTTCGAACCGAACCCTTTATTTAGTTCACGGGGGTAGAGTGTTCTAGTTCTACATGCCATGCTTTTTCTAGATATTTCAGTTTCAGTTAATTCCCTTTATTAACTCAACTCTCTAAATTTTTGTTCACCTCTGTGGTGGACAAGTATTGAACTTACAACTCTTTAGGTCAAGTTATTTTTGGATTAGTAAATAGTGTAAATAGTCACAATACCTCATCTCAGAAATAAAGACAGACTTTTCTACATTGTCATAGTTTTCCCTGAAATATTTAATAATATATTAACTTTTAAAGAATGGTCTGACAACATTACTGACAAAACTGGAAGATCATTCACAGAGACTTGAACATTAGCATGTAACTGAAACTTATTGAGAATGCTGGTCAGGTGTTCAGCTGCAAAGACATCCTATAAGCACACGTGCTCATGGGACTGATGATGATGAGAGTTCAATTATAATAGAAACCTCAGTATTAAATTCAGTTCTTAAGAAAAACAACAGCTATGGCAGGTACACAATCTCTTTCTGAAACCCTTGGAATCAGATGCTTTTTGGATTTCAAAATATATAGGATAAAACATTAAGTTGATTATCACCCGTTAAAATTTGCAGCTCTTTTTACTATTTTTGTTCTTCAAAATAAAGCAAAAATGAGTCGAAGAGGCATATCTGATTAGAAAAGCATTGAGACTTTTATATGCTATCTCCCTTCAGATCATGGCAATCATGGCGCTCCACCAGTTCCTGTCTCAGAGCTCTAAGCAGCTTTTCACTCTTTGTTTTCACTTTGCCATCCGTTCACCCAAACTCATTAAAGTTACTTGCTGTTCCCTTTACTTCTCTTGTCTTCTATGTCCTCTGACTATTAAAATTTCCAAGTCTTCTTTCCTCTTAATGTATCCCAGTAATTTCAACTGCCGCATTCTGATTTTTAAGTATGAGTGTCTTTCTAGAGACAATAAATATTAAGTCTTTACAGCCATCCCTTTGCCAACAAGAGTGGTCTGAATGTGATTTGCCAGTGATGTTCATACAGATATTTGTATATTATTAATATATGTGTATATCTTGTCTGCATTAAGTTTCCCCTATTTTACTCACTGTGTATACTCCTTTTAAATCCTCAATCAAACTTTGAAGAGTGAAGAACAAAAACCAGTCAGGTTTTGTTTCCTTTTTTCTTTTTTCTTTGCTGCTTACAATAATTATAAATTATTTTCTCTTTAATTAAAAAAAATGTGTTTTTATGGCTATAATAAAATTTTATACCTCCTAGAAAATATTTGAGTTTCCATTTTTTTAGAACTTCCTTGTTGCTCATGCATTCTGTTGATGGGAAGGCACATTTGCTATTCAAATGTGTTTTCAGATTTCTATGTCACATTTTCTGTCATCTGTTGCTACACTATCCAAATAGTTAACACAATCTTGAAATAATGACATCTGTTGTATTTTGCAAGGATTGGTAAAGTACTGTAAAAGTAGATGCTGAGATATGGGTTATGTCAGTTTGTATTTAGCATCAAACATGAGCCTTAGTATACAGAAAACATTCATGGAAGAAATGTTTCTTTTTCGAGATTGGATACCTGTACAAAAAAACATCAAAGCATTTATAAATAAAAGGACCCATCCATGGGTCCATCAAACAGAAACATTTGAGATCAAGATAAAACTACCTCTTGTCCTTCTATGTGGATGTCCATAGTATCACACCTGTACAAAAACAGATCAGAAGTTTACCAGATACATCAGTCACCTCATGAAAGCTAGAGAATGCAGCAGTCAAATTTTCCAAAGACAAATTATTTGCTGTATACAAACCTGGACAATTCCAGACTCCACCTCCTTGTGAATGGGCCACAAGATCAACACATGCCATGACAGCATGTTTTAAAGGATGACCAGATTGAAAACGAAGATCATGTGCAGCAGCAATAACCAAGTCTTTGGTAGGATCAATGACCACAGCTCCAACTGGACACTTAAAAAAAAAAAAAAAAAAAACAACTTCTTATTTGTGTCTGAATTTCTGAGAGGAGGGGTTAGCATTCTATGAATTCATTCAAATCAAAATAATATTTTAATTGCATCAGCTTTTCTTGATGTTTTCATTACAGCAAACATAACAAATGGAAGACATCAGAAACAGGCTTTGTAAGATGTATATTTGTGTTAAAAAAATGTTAAAATAGAAGAAAACTGACTTAATTCCATGAAATAATTTGTTGTACAGGGTGCAATGGTAAATTGTCACCACTTAATATTTTTAATTTCACATATGCGCGTTGTTTGTTTTTGTCAACTGCACAGTATAGTATGGTCAGTTGTGCACCATCTGTGAGAAAAGGAGCACCATGATGCAATTCACTTTGCCAGATTTTATTGAATAAATTTACTCTTTAGTATTTCAAGATATATTTGTGTAATTTTGGTAAATATATCTGTTAAAGTGAGATGTCAGTGTTATTTTCATTTTTGTGTTATTTAGATGACAATTTATTCATCAGACCCCGTATGTTTACATACAATTTCTTCCATCAAACAAACTAAATTCTAGATGAATCCTCACTCTCTCCTCAGATTTTTCATCCCTTTCACTCACTCACTTATTTATTTTTTCCAGGCTGGCTTATTTCCACCCTCGCATTTTTATTGAATTCTATTAGCCATTATCAAGGATGCAATTTTTAAAAATTTTAAATTGAATGTGTACATTTTTATATGTGTATGAATGTCTTTTTATTTTCCAAACACAGTCAGCACATTATGGCCATATTCATAGTTGATATTATTGAGTTTTGGATTTTTCTTTTTTATTATTAATGCTTCCATTTTTTTATCTATTTTTTTTTTACATGGATAAGGTGATTATAGTATATGTGTGTGTGTGTGTACATATTCTTTAGCAAAGACTTCTCAATTTCTAGGCCAGTTGACATTAATTTTTAATAAAAGGGATGTCAGATAAAACATACTTGTGAAACCACTAAAAATAACCTACTTCATGAATCTAACATTAGTATCAATGACTGTCTCAATTAAATTCACATTTGAAATACTGACATGCCCAAAACAGACCAAAATTTGTTTGGTTCAAAATTTGTGCTTTGTTTCATTAAAACTAACCATAAATGTCGATCTCTCAAGACGAACTCATATTGATCACTTCTAAACAAAAGATATTTTTTTTAGAAATTTTGTCCATATACCAGGTGTAACAGCAAAATTGTCCAAATCATGTTGCAGCATAATTGTTCATCCCACAAAATGTTTAATATCTAAAAAAAACCCACTAAAGTAATTGAGTTTTATTTTTTAGCAGGTTTTCAGATAAGATCTAAACATCTTATCTGAAAACCTGCTCACCATCTTAAAACCATTTGTTGTAAGAATCACTGAAAAACCCTTTGAGTTATTCAGCTAGAAACTGGTTAAAATTGTTTCATGTTAGCCCCACTGTCTTACCAAATGAGCAATGGTGAGAGAAAAAAAGATTATTCATGCCTTCAGTAATGGTACCAACATTCATACTTTGGTTTCCATCTTCAAAGTCCATTCAGGAACCATAAAGAGAATGATGAATAAGTTTAAAAAATGAGGGAACATTAAAGATGAAAACTAGATCAGGTGGTCACAACAGGAAGAGGGATCATCATTTCAATTAGAGCTAAAGAGATTGATTAGAAAAGATCTAATTCATAAGACGTTTGGCAGATGAGAAAGGAGTTTCACCTATGACAGTCCAAAGAGCAGTGAAAAAAGACTTGAAAATGAAATTGTACATGAAACCTGTAAGGCACCTTTGACATTTTTGCTGTTACACCTGGTATAATATTAAAGAAAAAATAATATAAAATTATTACTTCTGCCATTTTTTGTCCAATTTTTGCCATTTCAATTGCCTTTGCCATGTTTTTATTGATAATTTCTTCTTCGTTTGGCGTAAATACATGTGCACTGAGAAGTCGGGTTATTCTGAAAAGAGAAAGAGTTAATTTTTAAGAAATAGAAGTTAAACTTTCATTGGAGCTTGAGACATTTTTTGTTCGACCTGAAGGCAAAATAAAAGAAACACTAATTATCAGAAATAGCATCCACAGTATGGTTCCTTGCAATATCCACACTGGCATCAATACAAGAAACTAAACAAAAGGATAACTCATATATATATATATATATATTGCTGATACCCCTTGATGAGTGGATGAAGTAATTCCCAGAGGATCCATGTACGAAACTCTGAAGTCAGAATGTTAAAGGTAATCCCAATCAGCTAAGTGACAAACCTTTTATTTGTATTAATAAGGTGTATTTAGATAGTAAGAATTCTTTCAAACGTGTGTGGTTAGTTGTGCCAGAGCATTCTTGGTTTTTATTTATCAGAAACTTTTGAATAAAACCAATTGACTCAAGGGTATAAAATATTTAATATATTTTTATTTATTTGCTTTGAGTCCTTTGGTATTCAGTGTAGCAAAATGCTTGTTTATAAGTAGATATTGGTAGCAGTCTAGAGAAATGTCCATTTCAGCTCGGTTGTGAAGTCAGACCTTGCTCGTAATAGTAGTCATCTTAGAAATAGGTCAGTGTTCATCTACTGTGTTTTTCTTGGCCATTGGAAGGGCAGAAAATATCATTAACAAATGACCTCTTAACTACTTCACACGTTATGCATAGCTGGCTTCTCTTGCTTCTCTTTTGTTCTGTCTCTTGCCATCACTCTCCTCGGAGTGCCTGGGGGTGGTTGCCAGATTATATCCCTTTTGACAAGAGATCCAGACTTACTGGCACAAAGCCTAGTTTTGGTTAATATCAAAAGTCTCTTTGTGTTCATTTTTTTGATTGGCCAAAATTATTTTATTGTTCGGCATTCCTTTCTTTCTTTCTTTCTTTCTTTCCTAATGGATGTTATGTGTGGAGCCACTCTGATATTCAGTCACAAATTATTCGGCTCTGGTCCCACAAACTTTCAACATTTTTCAGCTGATTTCAGTCTTTTTTCTTCTTCCTCTCTTTTTTATTTGAGGGTTGCCTTCTCATCAGCAGAGAAAGAGAAAAAATGATAAGGGTTTTAAAGGAAAGTGCAAATGCCTTATTTTAATTTGAACTTTTTTTATTTTTGTTTTTATATTTTATTTTTATTGGGATTCATTTATAATTTTTTTGTTTTTAAATTTAGGAATTTAAAAAATAAAGAAAATAAAAAAATAATTTTCTTTATTTTCTAAAAAAAAGTACAAATTTTTATTTATTTGAAGGGGTTATTATTTTTAGGATTCACAGGAACAAAACAAATGAGCTAAATGTTTAAAAAATAAAGCTACCCCTATAAGAAAAAAAGTGTCAACTCGTCCATAGGTGTGTTGATGCTTACTATTCTTTTGTATCAATTTACAACTTGAAGTAAGCAAATATAAATGGAGTAATTGTAGTTTTGGTTCGAAAAAGCAATTATAAATGGAGAAATTGATCGTCTCCTTATCTTACTAATATTCTCGTCATTTAGATTTGACTTCAAATAATAAAATAAGAACTTATAAAAAAAGAAATTAATTTTTTTTTTCTTAAATTATCTTTATTTGGACTAGATTCTCTGAGCTCAATCTTTTAATTTGGCAATGGCAATATCCTGTACTGACAATTTTCCCAGAACCAATTAAGAGAGAGAGAGAGAGAGAGCAGTTTTGTTTTGAAGGTGTTAAAATTAACAAGCCATGTTTTGCTGCAGTTAGCAACAGACTGCAGGTCATTTTTTCAGATCTGTTGCCAATTTGACCTTATTGAACTGATCAGACTTCCTATTAAGACAGGAGAAAATAGTACCATCAGCATAAATACCTGAAAACTGGAAGGAAGTCATTTATGAAAACTAAGAACAACATAAGTCCAAGGGTAGAGCCAAAAAGATCTAGAAGAGTGGCCATTGACAGCTACTTTCATTTTGCAATTTGATAAAAAAGACTAAATCAATTCAAAAATTTGCCCAGAAATCCCATAACCTTTCAAGTTGTGAAGAAGACCAATATGCCAAACCCTGTCAAATGCCTTTGAGATGTGCAAAGCAACAGATCTATCCAAAGCTTCACCATTTAAGCAATTTGACCTGATCAAACAAATCAGACTTACCATTAAGACAGGAGTAGATAATTGATACCCAAGCTAAGAATTGATGACATCAGAAAAAGGTGTTTGTTGAGATTTGTTCTGGGAAATTTTAGTTTTTCTTCCATAACTAAGAGCAGTTAATTGTATATTTCCTCTAATTGTCCATAACTTTTACATGCCTTATTTTCAGTGTCAAAATGTATCTCCTCTTGTAGTGGATGCATGCAAATATGCCAACTTGCATCACAGTCTTGAATGTTCATATATACTACTCCTGAAAGTATATTATTGAATATTTAAAACTTTTTAGTAAAAATTTAGCAAATTGCAGAACCTATACTGACTTACAAAATTTAAAGGATTTGCTATCAACATCCTGTTACCCAATACCAGCAGAAACATTTAGAGGTCTTGTACAGTCATGACTGATAAAGGTCACCTTTGTAAATGCATAGAAGACCATCACCAATGGTTCTTTTTATGAATACATGTATTCACATACAAAATATATCTTTATATACTAATAAACCAAAGAGCATTCTGGGACTCATCCAAAATTTTATGATCAAATAATGTGAAACTCAGAGTATCAGTTTAGATCAGTGTTCCAGAGTTAGTTTGTTAGTATTACTATTCTGTCTTAGTTTAATTTTTAGAGGCATTGAGAACTTTAGGTTTTTGCGTGGATCGGTGTCTGTCTTTGTTTCTTTTTTCTTTATTTTTCTTTTTCATATTTTTTCCTTTGGTAAGCTTATTATTGAGGGTTCTTCTTTAGTGCTTTCTTAATAACTTGTTTTTTTTTATAGTTATATACGTTAATATTTATATATATGACTTTTTGACTTAATATATGTATGTATCATAAAAGGCAGCACATTATACTCATATTAGCATAAATGTCATTAAGTGTTTGTACAGCTCCCCTGGAAATGTACAGTCATATCTGTTTATACTCCAATAGGTTTATTCAGACTAGCATCTTAATTGTTGTCTACAGTAAATATCAAATACATGCAAAGAGCTTACTGTTCCATGCCATCACATCCTTTTACTATATTAAATGCAACGAGACATTTTTGGGATTTTTTTTAACTCTTGATTTTCTGGTGACCAGAAAAAAGTCAGAAGAAAAAAATGTCATGGGAAAAGGTCATAACTTTGGTTTCTAGCTCAGAAATTTTTAATTGAATGTCTATTATAGATGGTTAGACAAAAGGCTAAAGATATGGTTGAGCTAAACAGGTACTATAAAGTAAGGGCCCTGCATAACCTTATCATTACAATGTAAATTGCAGACATTGACAAAAAAAAAAGTCAAAGTTTTGTGAATTGTAAAAATATACTTTGATATCCCATTAATAATCATAGAAACATTGGTGGATACAATTTGGGTCATTCTTGAAATATGACAAAGACAGATAAAAATAACATTAGATGAATTAGATGTGCAGAGTTTTATGTTTAAAATTTTGTAATAAACAAGTTTATGGCTAGAAAAAATATCAGAGAATGCTTACTGTATTTTTATTTATTTGGACTAAGATCCTGATTTTTGCTTCTTTTTATTTTTAAAAATGGTGTGTCAAAATAATGGTTTTTCACTTGATGCCGCCATTATCTTCACTCTTCGGCAAAGTTGATTTTTTAAAATGCGATGATTTGAATTATAAAACCTAAACACATGAAAGTGATTTTATACATTTTCTTTGTTCTTAAAAATAACCTCACCTATAAAAAGAGATTGTGTATAGATTTAATTGCTTTGTTTTGATCTTGAGGTATATTGTATTTAATTGATTTAATATAATTGGATTAATTGAATATAATTAGCTCAGATTAACTTGTTTTTGTTATTTTGCTTTTTCACAACATTTTAAATGTATAACCTGTGGCTTTGGATGTGCAGGTGTCATAATACTTAGCATTCCAGAATTCAATTGAATTCATTATATTGAACTTTCACACAAATACCCTCGGGAAATGTATGAATCCATCTCTTAAAACCCTGCTATGGTTTAAATAGGAAGACAGACAGGGCGATCTGTAGCTGTGGATGACAACCAATCTAGGTGAAGGAAAGCTGAATTCAAAAACTGTCTGTAGTCCTGGTAAAGCATTTAAACTGTAACTAAGGTCTGTGTTGGGAAAGTTGCACTAGAAACCACAGATTGGCTTTGCGGGTATTGAAGAAAATACAAATGGGCCTGAGCAGACAGGTATATTAGAAATGTGTAATCATCCTGAAGATGAGAAATCATATTCTTTGATGATGACTGAGAGAACATATATTTCTTTGCTCCTACATATCTCATTCAGTGCTTGTGCCTGTGTATTCTTGAGATTGTCTTTTCTCGTATTAGTCCATTCAATATACACACTCACATAATTATATATATATGTACAAGACAAAAGGAAAACTTTTCTTTACCAACATGTTTTGTCACCTAAGAAACTTTATCAAAGTATATGGGGAAATATTTTCTAACTTGCATTTATACATAGAAGTGGAGGAAAATATTAAGTTTTCTAATTTTAAATGCAAGAATGCTGTTTAAGGAAAGGTAAATGATAGAGACTAATAAGTGATGTAATTTTTGCCTAATAAACAAAAGTGAGTAAATGTTGTTGTTGTGGAATATTTTTTAATTGCAATTGTTAATTATTATTTTAATTTTATTTTGTTTAATTACTTATGCATTATTTTTTTTATTTTAAATATTTAAAGGTATTGTGTTAAATTTTTTCTTTCAAATTTTTCAGAATTTTTATGGTCATCTATGTTTGGCTTGAGAAAAGAGAGGAAATATTTGAAAAAATCCAGGTAAATATAAGTTAACATTTTAGCAAGAATCAATAATTACACTCTCAACAACTTTTTGTCTAAGCAAGTTATCTTTTTTAATAGCATTCTTGAAATCGCAGTTGTGGTTGAAATTATTTCTGAGTATCAATAATGCATTGGATAAATTGTTATGTAGGAGATTTTTCTTATAAATATGGTTCATATGTTCTCAAATTTAAAATTCAAAAATTTAATATTTTTCCTCTATTTCTATAAAATAAATATTTCAACATTTACCATGTTAAACTTACTCAGGGGATGAAACATGTTAGTAAATAAAAGTTTTCATTTTGTCTTTTATTTATATTGTCTTTACAGATATATTTTATTTATATCTGAATTTTTACACAGATACATAAGCACATATATTATATAGTAGGCTAATGAAAAAAAAAATGCAAAAAAGAAAAAAATAATGAGCATATTTATTATATAACTGTAGGCCAGTGGACAAATAGAAGCATAATGAGAAAAATGTCCAAAATTTAAAATTTTGGGCATACCTTTGTCTTCCTTGAGAAAAAACCAACTAAAGTTGAATATTTTTTTTTTAATCAGTTCACCCCTAACAAGGTGGTAATACCATTAGAATGCAGGGAGTTACAGGGAGTTTGAAAAAAAAAAAAAAAGAATGAGAAGGCTGAGAATGGGGTGGATTGGGGAAAGAACAAAAAGAACAGGTTCAAGAAGACAGGAGGTGGCAATTGACACTGCATTTAAATTTTTGAAGATTGTAATTAGCAAGGAAGCAAGAAATCAAAAGGGAGTTCCAAAGTGTAAAAAAAGGAACTGTTAGAGTAGAAGTACGATTGCAGCTAGCTATTTCAACAGTAAAATGATGGCATATGGTTGCCAATCTAGTAACATGTTTAAATTCATGTACTTGGGGCACCAGGGGAACAGATGCCATGAAAATATTTGAAATTGTTGTAACACTTGTAAAATCTCCAATAATCCTACAGCAGATCTTTACAAACACAATTCTACCTTTTGTTTGTTTTTAAAATCAAAATTTTTTAAAAATTCCAACTTCAGTTTATTTTTATTTTAGGAAAGACACAAACCTGATTTCAAATTTCAGCAATGCTCAGATTATCAGGAAGGTGATTCTTGGTGTTATTGGCTTAAGGAAGATGATTCCATCAAGTGGCAAATTTGGAAAGTGCCTGGAAACCATACCAAGACTTTTGACTGAAATTGGGTAGATGGAATCATTCAGAAGCCATCAATAGTTGTGCTAGCAAGAAGTTATTGTGATGAAGGGTTTGAGCATACTATACTGATCCTTCTTCCTGATATGGCTTTTAAATTAATCAACAAGACAACAGAAATGCCACACTGCACTGATCTCATGACCTTTTGTTGAAGTTTGACAAGACCATAATTTGGGATTTCATGTTTATCATGTGTTCTTTTCTAGTTAATGGCTCTTACATGCTATTAATTCCTATACTTGATCAGCTGATTGTGTTATCAGAGTATAGTATGGGTACTGTACAAACACTTTCCACTTTCTTATCATCCAATATTGACCCTTGTCTATTATTTTGCCATCTTTCTATTTCATAATTGATAAATTTCATGAACTAATACAAAAAATAATGCCAACAAACATGAATATTTATTTGGACATAAATTTGTTACTGTTAAATATCAGCTAGGAAATAAGAAAAAAAAATGGTTTGAGATTAAAACCCAAATGCAAATGTCAGTTTATGGATCAATCTCATCCCATGCTTATGTCCAAAGGGAGGTGTGTGACTGAACAAAATTGTTTGCTTTTCTCTTTCTTGTGTGTACTCTTTTGTGCCAAATATAAATGCCATATGAAATAATCAAACTGGTGGGAAGTTTTCAACTTACAAGATGGGAATTTTTATATAACTTTAAAAAATATAAAACAAAGTAATGATGACATGGAGAAAATGATTAGTAAAATATTAAGCATGCTATACAAAATTATAACTGTGCCTGGCAAGAATTGAAGGAAATAATTCAATAATGCTTATATTTCGTACACAAGAATAGATGGTTATGTGCAATGTTTAGGAAGTCAAGGGTATTTAAATGGTCTTTGATATTTTGACTCTGTCAAAGTACTGGGTTTTATATGCTTGCCTGATTTGTTTTTACGTCTTATCAACCTTTTACAAGTTATTTAAAGCCAGAAAATATTTTTAGATTGTAAGAGTTTTTAATGGTTTACTGATACTAGTCCTACTAATTAACCCATAGCTGGGGGAGGGGGAAGTAATGAATTCATACCTTTCCCAAAGGTATTTTCATGTAAGTAAAATGAACCCAATTAGAAATGAGTATTGTTTTGTTTATTGTATTGTTCTTTAGTGCTTCTGCTATTTATTTAAAAATTCCTGATAAAACCCAAAGAAGAATCTGCAAAGTTATCAATCCTAACCTGACATTTCAGCTTCTGTCACTTTTCTACCATCATAGCAGCCTTTTCTATAAATATTTTTATGGTAATTGTTCTGAAGTTACCTGGACTTTGCAAATTTAAAGTGCAGTACTAGATTGGCAGCTAGTTCTCATCATTTTACAGTTGAAATGGCTTAGAAGTAACCATAAGTTCTATGTTAACAGTTTCTTCTCTTGCACTTCTCACTTGTGGAACTCTCTTTTGGCTTCTTGCTTTCCAGTCAACCTTGATCCTCAAAAGTTTATATGCAATGTTAATCATTATCTTTTATTTTCTTAATTCCTCTTCTTTATTGTCGTCTCTCCTCTTAATAATGTTTTTCTTTTTCTGTTATTCTTTTATACTCGGTATTCCCTTGCATCTTTGTGGCTTTATTTCCTTGCTTAGGGTGAAATGATTAAAAACGAAAACAAAAAAGTTGTACTGTAATCAAGAGTAGTTTGCAGTGCCTCAATTCAACATGTTCAGCAGTTGATACAAGTTGAGGAGAGATTTATGTTCTTCTCAAAGGGCATGCCAATACAGTTGGGAAAAAACTTTTTAAAAATCAGAGAATTACTGCCCTTGAGGTTACATTCGTAAGAGTTCTCTATGAGAACAAAGCATCTTTTGCAGAACAGATCTTTCAGAGACACCATCTTAAACACCACAATTCCAACGTCAAGAAGGCAACATTGTTTGATACTACAGAGAACAAGAAATTGATTGAATTTGATAACTGATGATGGAAAAATTATACAAGAGATTCAAATATTTGTTATGACCTACTTTTTGTCTTCATGGAAATTTACTGGCCAACAAAGTGAGGCTTCATTGAATTGTTTCCGAGTTAGCGGTGCTGAGGCTGGAACCTGTACAAGATATGGTTGTCCAAGAAAAGATTTCATTTCTGGTAGACTGTCTGAATCAAAAAGTACCTCAAGTGTTAAGCGTTTTTTTAAAAATTCCTCTGAAAGTTGATCCTTCAGACAAATGATTATGTGGAGACCGGACCCTATAAAAAGAAAGAAATGGAATCATTACATGTGTCCTAGGATTCTGCTTCCTATTTTGGTCACAATAATTTCTGATGATAATCAATTTCTTTTTTCTTGCTTGTTTTAAAAGTACAAAATACAGATTAAGTGCTGAAGGTTTCTAAAACAAATTTTTTGTGAAAAAGTTTGCAAAATTCAATGCTTAAAATCATTTAATTTTACACTTAAGTTTTTTATTCATTTGTAGCTCTGGAAATGAACTTCACAAATTGTTTTGATTGTATAATGTAATAATTACTTAATAACATTTTTCTTTCTTTCAAGAATGAGTTAATCAAAGATGTACAGAGAATCTTGATTAGGAAGGACAATCTTATAGTGAGGAGTACAAAATAATTTTGATTTTTATCATGAGGAGTACAAAATAATTTTTTAAAAATACATCATGTTCCCTGGTAGTTGAATCCCTAAGTCTAATCGTGCTGAAAAGTCATATATTCTGATTCAGTGGGAGAAGTAACAGTGAATAATGGAGGGTATTAACTGATAGGAGTTATCTCCCCTAAGTATGGAAAGCCAAACAAAAACACACTTGCCTCATGAATTAAATAGAGTCTGATCCAAAATCCCCAAAATTACTGAGAACAAAGAAAGGCACCTGAAGAAGGCCAGCTGAAATGATGTGAGTATAACAATCTAGATGATCATGCTGGTTTGAAAGGCAAAGCAATTAATAATTTGGAGGAATTTAACAACCAAAGTAATGTATTGTCTTGATAGAAGAATCCTATATATAAGGGAAAATATTGGGCTATTAATATTAACTTAAAGTCAGTGGTCATTTTGTTTTCCATTTGCTAATTTTCTAAACTAATTTTTCTTAATATTATGAAGAGATTTGTCAAATATGTATTCTTTATTTTTACTTTTTTCCTGTTTTTATTGCCTAAAAAGATTTGTGATTTCAAAATTTTTTAAAAGGGTAAATACAGAAATTTATCTGTCGAGGAAGCATTTTAACAAATGATGGAAAATGTGATAGGGAAATCTGAAGTCCCATTGAAATAGCGAAAGATGCCTCCCAAAAAGCTAAAGAAACAGGAAAATCCTCCTATATGGCAGTGAATACAAAAAAAATTCCCCACAGTTGAAATGGGGACTTGAAGCAACAGAAATGGTTGCTGAAAATACTATGGACAGAGTATTTGAGTAACAAAGAAATTTTTTAAAAAATAGAAGAAAGAAGGACACATACTTAGAATCAAAAAGCATTAAAATTTCTGTGACACATAATGCAGAATGAGGGCTTGGAAAATTTGGCCCTCACAGGAGATACTGAAAGCAAGAGTGACAAAGGGAAACATGAAGTTTTGTAAATAGATGGCAGAACATGGATTGAAGAGGAGAGTAAGGGAACAAAAACTGGAGAGCTACAATCTCCCACAACCTGCAGGGACACAGTACATAGAACAGCAAAGTTTAACTTTTGGACCCACAAAAAAAAAAAAAAAAAAGAAAATGTTGTATCAAAAGGACAACCTTACTCTTGATACTGCAATTACTGTATACACACTCAACTCCCTCAGCAAAGTTTATCAATTTAAAAACTATGTTTAAAATTTTAATAATAACTAAAATATTACACACTATTTAGTTCCATGGTTCCCAAAGTGGAGCACATGCCCTACAGGGAGGCAATTTGATTTTTTAAGGAGGACAATTTGAGAAGCAGTTATTAACATAATTTTTTTTTTGTTGAGACTGTGTGAGAATTAATACATACAATGCATATAGTATGTATACATAAAAAATATTTGTGTGTATGTAAGTACATGTGTAATTATATATATATATATATATATATATGGCAAGGCAAAAGTCGTGCACTATAGCGATAATTTATTAAAAGTATAATTACATGGCAAATTTTATTTACTAACTAGCAGTAGAGCCTGGCATTGCCCGGGGATGTAACAGTAAGAGATAGATCAAGTATCCACCATCATAAAGACTGAAAAATAAAATTGAAAAAGATTATTGTTTAAGGTTGATGGACACGCATGTCTTAATTAGTTTTTTTTTTCTTTTACGAATTGGTCAAACCCAAACTCAAACAAAAACATTGTTTTCAATCGTTATGAGTCTACCGATTGAATAGAATTTTATTATAAACAATTGTCTTTAAGAATTTGGAATTTTTAAAGTATTCTGATTGTAAAAATAAAGAAAAAAGTGTGCAAGACAATAAGAAACATTACCTGCCAAAAAGTGAAGTTTTGTTGAAATTGGTTGAAAATGGAGGAAATCCGATCCCATATATAAACGAACACACACACACAAACAACCTGGGTTTTATAATAAGTATAACTCAATATGAGTTGTCCCCCTTTCATTCTGGCAACAGAATCATGTTTTATCGTGCTTTCAAATTGATTTCATGCAAAAACAATTGTGTTTTTTCAATTTTTGGCACTGTCAGAACCACCACAAGGTAATCTTACATAGTCCTGTGAAGTTTTGTTGAAATCGGTTGAAAAATGTAGGAAATCCGATCCAATATATAAACGTACAGACACACACACAATCTGCGTTTTATAATAAGTAAGATTATTTAATTGTTATATGTGCTATTCAAAATGTCCTCCTGATTTTTAAAAACACATTTCAATTCTGTGCCTGCATGATTCATTAACATGATGGAGAGTTTCCGCTGTCATTTAACTGAATTCATATTTAATTCTTTAAGTTGCTCAATATTTCTTAGGTGTGTCTGATAAACAACGGATTTCAAGTGACATCATAAAAAAAAATCCAAGCGTGTCAGATCTGGTGATCTCAATGGCCATTCAACATGACCGCTTTGATTTATCTAAGCTCTATGGTATGTGACTTTTGCCTCACCCTCTGTGTGTGTGTGTGTATGTATATATATATATATATATATATATATATATATATATATATATATATACATACATACATACATACATACATATACATACATACATACATATATATTTGTATAAAAAATAAATCCAAGAGGATAGAATCCAGGTAGAAGTCAATGTCCAGGACAGAGTAAGGATATAATAAAAAGGCTTAAACACTAATATTCCATGGTTCTAATTTATTCCATTGGAATCGTAAATACGATCCAATTCATGAGACCTACAATTCAAAAAGAAAACAGAAAAAAACAACTCCAGGAATAAAAAATAAAATTTATTCTTGGATGTCTAATACATTAAAGATATACCGGAAAAATACATTTTGTGGTGTCATACACACACAAGAGACGATATAATCATAAAGATCAGAAGATGAGAAAGGGAGAGGAAAAGACTATACATATATATATACACATATACATATGTATGGAGTTGTAAGGTTTTATGTATATAATATACATAAAACCTTACATCTCCATACAATTACATACACCCATAAGAGTGGATGTGTGTGTGTGTGTGTGTGTGTGTGTGTGTGTGTGTGTGTGTGTATGTATGTATATATATATATATATATATATATATATATATATAATGTGTGTGTGTGTGTGTAGATATATGTATATGTATGTGTGTACACGCCTATATGTATGTATGTACATGTAAATATAAATATGTTGTTGTGTATACGCATGTGTTTTTGAACGTAGAAATATAGGTCCTTGCTAGATTAGATAATCGTTATATTTGTTTTTTATATGTTTATATTTGATTTGTAACCTGTAGTCAATATTACTTTTGTCAAATTTTCTTGATTACACAGTGGCCCTTTCAGTAAATGCCCTTCGGTTTTAGTTCCCCCCTACCCCATCTCCCTCCCACCCCTTTTTCTCTTTTCTTTTCCTCTCCCTCTCTCATCTTCTGATCTTTTAGATTATATTGTCTATTGTGTGTGCATGTCACCACAAAATGTATCTTTTCCAGTATATCTTTAATGTATTAGACATCCTAGAATATTCATATTTCTCTCACTTAAACTGTCTTTGACTCCCCTCTTTAAAACTTCTCTCTGTTAAATTTTAATCCCCCCTTCATCTTTAGGCATTCCTGTTCTTTTCTCATCTGTTTCTCCCTATAGCTTTCATTTACTCTAACATTCGTCCCACACTCTAACTAAATTTTATTTTTTATTCCTGGAGTTGTTTTTTCTGTTTTCTTTTTGAATTTGTAGGTCTGATGAATTGGATCATATTTACGATTCAATGGAATAAATTATGACCATGGAATATTAGTGTTTAAGCCTTTTTTATTATATATATATATATATATATATATATATATATATATATATATATATATATATATCTTACTTTATAAAACGCAGATTGTGTGTGTGTCTGTAACGTTTATATATAAGGATCGGATTTCCTACATTTTTCAACCAATTTCAACAAAACTTCACAGGACTACATAAAATTACCTTGTGGTGGTTTAAACAGCACCAAAAATGGGAAAAATATAATTGTTTTTGCACAAAATCAATTTGAAAACACGATTAAGAGACATCGTGAAAATGGAAGGGGGACAACTCACATCGGGTTGTTTGTGTGTGAGGGTTCCTTTAAATATGGGAGCGGATTTCCTATATTTTTCAGCCGATAAAACAAAACTTCACTTTTTTTTTTTTTTTTTGGCAGGTAGTGTTTCTTATTCTCTTGCACACTTTTTTCTTTATTTTTAACATTCAGAATGCTTTAAAAATTCCATTTACAAGATAATTATTTATAATAAAATTCTATTCAATCAGTAGACTCATAACGATTGAAAACAATGTTTTTGTTTGAGTTTGGGTTTGACCAATTCGTAAAAAAAAAAAAAAAAAAAAAAAATTAAGACATGCGTGTCCATCAACCTTAAACAATAATCTTTGTCAATTTTATTTTTCAGTCTTTATGATGGTGGATACTTGATCTATCTCTTACTGTTATATCCCCGGGCAATGCCGGGCTCTACTGCTAGTATATATATATATATATATATATATATATATATATACGCACAGAGGATGT